TGAGAGAGAGAGAGAGAGAGAGAGAGAGAGAGAGAGAGAGAGAGAGAGAGAGAGAGAGAGAGAGAGAGAGAGTACCCTCCAAAAGGTACGATGACACTCCAAAAACTCCAAGACTGACAAATGTTAATGTTAAAGGTGATATTCCTCGTGACGAGAGAGATCCATAGCTCCTGGAGATCGACAACCGGGACGGCATCAATCTTCCAGTTAACCCAAATACGTAATCACGGGGTTTTCTGAATGGTGCCACCTCCATTGGGCATATTACAGCCACAAGCCTGATAGATGCCTCCAGGCGATTCTCGATTTATGCATGTCATCCTTGTGGAAGAATGTGCCGAAATTAATGTGGTAAGGGACGTTGAAGGAAGCACGAGTAAAGATATATCCTTATTGATTTAGATTGAGGTGCCAAACAAGCACGCATAAAGAGAATGTGCGTCAGGAATTTCATATGATGCGACCAATCAAGGAAACGAGGGGATGAGAGAAGGGAGAATGGAGGGGCACGCATAAAGAGGATGTGCGTCAGGAATTTCATATGATGCAACCAATCAAGGAAAAGAGGGGATGAGAGAAGGGAGAATGGAGGGAGATGAAGGAAGAAGAGAAAGGTGCGAACTTTATGGGAGATCAGTGAGACGAAGAATGGGAATTAGTAATAAGGTGATAGAATGACAATACCACGCTCGCGGGTCGTTGGGAGCATCAGATGTCCTTCCTCCTAGTCGAGGAAGGTCTTCAGAGCACCCCTCAAGGGTCTTCTCGATCGTTCCCCCGAAGGAAAGACGAGGTTGCCGGATCAAGCGCTCAAAAGCATAATGCTGGAAGATAATGACGATGATGCGATGATGGCCGATGACAATAACAAAGGCTGCGATGATGATGATGAACACCGGTGATGACGATGATGATGATGTCATCGTGCGCATGAGGATGAAGACGAGGTTGCCTTGGCAAAGGATAAGGACAGTGGGAATTTCATTAATCCACTGATGTGCGTCGGTGATGAGATGATCCATCGGTTGCAACTTCCCACTTGGGTGAAGCTCTTCACTTTGACATTCGGAGCACTGGGCAGAAGTCACGTGGCGTCAGCATCCGGGTAGGTGGACGATCCCGCCCTTAGCAAACTCCGCTTCACAATGAAATTTCTCGATCATTCCGCCACCTGAATCGATCGCCTGGATGCAGGTGCACACACCTTGATGAAGGCGCCGTGTGATGGCCGTTGGCGCTTGATTATGATGAGCGCCTGCTGAAGAAGGCGATGGCAGGTGAATGTTGCATCTGATGGTCGGAGAACAGTCCAACACTTGGTGAATTCCACTTCACACTGAAAGCAAGATCCGGCCTAGAAGGATCAAAAGTACCGGAGCGATGGACGCTTAGCTACGTCAACCCGACGTAGCGCTCCAGTCAAACTCCCCACCTGACAATGTTCTTCGCTGGGATCGAACACATTGCAACAAGCAAATCTGTGGCTCAACCACACGAAATGCATGGGTGGTAGGATCACAACAGGAAGAGTGATTGAGGGGGGAAAGGGAAACCAGCCTTGGAGTGGAATAGAGATTGGAGAAACAGGGTGATCAAAGGGGAAGGTGCAGGCACGAACGTAGAGAGGGGGGGAGGTAGTCGGGGTATGAAGCGCAGGCGGAAAAGACGCGTGTCAAGGTGGAAGGGGGGAAAGGGGGAGAGGAACATGGTGGTGAGGGGAGAGGTCGGCGTGGGAAAGCAAGGAGTGCACCTGGTCAAGAGAATGGGCCAGGTGCATTCACATCGATGAATGCACCCGCATCACAGGGGTGGGCAGGTGCATGACCCGGGGGCAGTGGGGAAATGCATCTGCAGGCAGCAAGATCCAGCGTGAGATGATGGGGCGAGTGAGGAAAATGGGAAAAAGGAGAGGCAAGATTGACGAAGGGTCGGGATCGGCGGAAGGATGGAGGTGGCACAGGTCTGGAAAGGAATGGTGGAGGAACCGAGAGGGGAGGATGGTCGGGAGCAGGAGGGCGGACGGCGCAGTGGGGAGGAAGGAGATGACGAGGGGCAATCGCGATGCTGGGAAAGTGGATTGGGGAGCCGGGCGCAAGGGGAAGCGGGTTGGGCGGGGGGGGGAAGCGCCGGAGTGGGACACAGCCAGAGGAAACTCTGGTGGAGGCTCACAGCGCTACTGGCATGAAAATCGTTCACAGGATCAATCAATCGATCAATCAATTAATCAAATATAAGAAAGGGGGAATATGGCATGGGAAGTCCAGCCGGGGGGGGGGAATAGGGGAAAGGAAAAGGGAAAGGGATAGCGCTGTGATCCGAGCACATCACTGGATCGCTCGATCGGCAGGAGCAAGGATGTCAGCAAGCCAAACCGGAGGAAGGCACCACGAAGCCGAAAGTTGAAGATGGCCAATGGAGGGCTGCAACGCGAGTGCGTCCAGACTCCAGAAGGTCGTGCAGGTGAAGATGTTGGATGTCATGCTGTCATCCTCACTCCTGAGCCATGGAGATGGAAAGGGCCCACCTTTGATGTGGGAGGTGGCCTGATGGGGTGGGATTGAAGGAGTCCAGGTCGACTCCACTCTGATACCGGTGAAACGAACGTGCGGCCACAAGATATGGCCACGCGTGCAACTGACAGGAAGGAGAGAGAGAAAGATGGACACACACGAGAGCAGCAGCTGAGTGAGAGTGCGGCTCAATGGACCGGCCGAATGAGCAATAATCCAAAAGTATGAAAAGGAGCACAATACACAAGAATATACATTAGTGGTGCAGGGGACAACCTGGATGTGGAGCTTACTGGTCCAAGGAACAGACCAGCGGTCTGGAACTGAGCTGGCCTGACTGGCCAGGACTGGCGTTGTACTGCTGCAGTCTCGTCCTAAACCTTTCTGAGCAGGATTGAAGTCCACGTAAAGAAGGATAAGATTATTTGTTTGGGTTTGCAAAGGACACACATGCGCAATGTGATGCGTGCTTGTAATCAGCAATGCTACATTCTGTTAGGGCATACTCACACTAGGGCCTTTTCACTTACGTATGGATGTGACTGCAGTCAGATGCATCCAGCTCCAGCCTTAAATGCGGTCATAAACATTGAAGATAGAGCTAGTATGTGTATACCCTTACAATTGAGATTTAAAGCTGCCCTTACAATTGAGATTTAGAACCTCCTCAGTGCATATGCATACTACTGTCTTCCCCTGAACACCGCACACCCTCATTATGACAGCACCGGTCTGGTGTTTTTTTTTGTTTTTTTTTTCGGAACTCTATGCCAAGGGCACCTGTTTCTAAGGGGGTGGTAAGAGCAGCCCCTTTAAGCAGGCCTCGGTGATGAAGGCTCCATCTACTGGTGGGGAGCTACACCTGCTGGAGGACCGGGTCCACTGTCCGTCTGTCCCTGTACATCATGTAAGATCAAAGACCCAGACTGTCAGTTCTGTCAAATGTGTCGCCCAAAACCCGCAGTACCAGTGTGTGGCTGAGTGTTCTAAGTTGTAACGTCACAAACTATGGTGAAGTTGTGTGGTGATCGTGGTGGAGACGGATGTCTAATGTGCGAGTGTTGTGTGAGTGTTGTGTGAGTGTTGTGTGAGTGTTGTGTGATATCTGGTGTCTGAGTGAGTGTCTGGATACTATGTGATGTCTAGCTTCCGAGTGTTATGTGGCAGTAGGGTATCGCGAATTGTGAATGTGTGTGATCGACGAAAGTGATGAAAGTGATAACAGTGATAACAGTGATAACAGTGATAACAGTGATTTTGGTAGTGTACTGTACTGTGATTGTGTTGTGTTATGTTGTGCTTTCCGGCTGTCTGCTCTTATGCTATTTCTACTCACTCCCTGTTTATCCCCTCTTTGTTCCCCTGCTCCTACATATCCTCCCTTTTTCCTCCCTTCACTGCCCCTTCTCCCCTACCCCATGTTTCCATTAAGCCTTTCCTAAGTTCCCAACTTACCATCCCCGTCCCGACTCCCTACACCTGTTCCCTTACTAAACCCTACCCAACTCCAGTAAAGCCTCTGCTCTCTCTCTCTCTCTCTCTCTCTGAAATTGACAAACCTGTTGCTTGAGTTGACCCAAGAGTGGCATTGACACCCCAGGGACCCATCCTGGCCGGCAAGGGGGCGGGAAAACGGGAAGAAGAAGGGGAGAAGATTCGGGGGGGGGGGGGGGGGAGAATGGTATGAGAACCAAGCTTGATGGGTCCTGAGCTGGGGACACCCGGAGGTACCGTAGGTATGAGTACGAAGTTAGTAGGGTCCACCCATGCGGATGTGGACCCAATGTGGAGAGAGAAGTGATCTGCGGGAAGGAATTCCCACTGGTTTTCTGTGTAGAGCCAGGGTTGCCATTTCAGGCTATGGGGATGATCCAATCTGCACAGCCTTTGATTTGGGTCCACCCATGCGGCTCAAAAGTTTTCCACCATTTGTACCCTCTTAGGTACTTCCTTTTCGTTTTGGAGCCCTCTTACGTACCCTCTTAGGTACCCATGTTTGCAGTTTTTTCCACGCATGATGAGTGTTGGCAGTTCTCCTGTCGACAATTGATGCCCTTGCCTGTAGATAGCCAAATGTGTTGTCTTTTCTTCACACGTGGTTAACCAGGGG